ACCTCCCGCTGAGCACCTTCCCAGGTACTGCTCCACACCCTGGCACGAGGAGAGATCCACAAAGCTCAGCCATGGCAGTCTCTATTCTCTCTGCTTCTCTTTCTCCTGGCCCCAGCCTTGCCTTGCCTTGCTTCAGCTCCAGGAGCATTCCCCTGTTCCCCAGAAGGGGTCTGCTGGGGCTAGGGACTGTTCTCACTTCAGTTTTTGGAGAAGTGATCCTTCATCCCAGCACCATGAAGCCAAGAGTATCTCCTCTCTGCCCACAGGAATAGAGAAGTTCAAGGGCCGCTACCTCCACAGCCGAGACTACAAGGATGCTCGAGACTTCACGGACAAGAGGGTCGTTGTCATCGGGATTGGGAATTCGGGATCGGATCTGGCCGTGGAGATCAGCCAAGCAGCCAAGCAAGTGAGTAGCAGGAGTGGAGTGAGCAGGGCAGCCCCCATGGGACACTGCCAGCTCCACAAGGACACCAGGACCAAGGCAGTGGCACAGCCGCTGCTCTATCCTGGCACTCACTGCATCCGGCAGTGCTGGCACCAGCCAGTCCCGGCTGCCAGGCAGTGGTGGCAGTCAAGTGGTGGCATACTGATAGCCCACCACCCGAGCCCCCAGCTGGGGATGCCCCATGACTCTTCCCTGCCTCTCCCCAGTGGGTTCTGACCACTGTCTCTCTCTGTCCTCTGGAACTTTGCCCAGTGTTTGGGCAGCATGAAGAGGAGCAATCTCAGCAAGGACATGTCCTCCCCAGGGCAGCCTCCCAGGACTATCAGATCCTTCAGGAAGCAATGCTTACTTCCTTGCGCAGGTCTTCCTCAGCACTCGCCGGGGTGCGTGGATCCTTAACCGCGTTGGAGAGCAGGGCTACCCCATGGACATCATCTTCACCACCCGCATGAAGATATTCCTGAAGAAGCTGCTGAGCTCCTCCATGGTGAGCGACTTCATGGAGAAGCAGCTGAACACCAGGTTCAACCACTCGCACTATGGCCTGAAGCCAAAGCACAGGTGCCAGTATATGCTCCCCTTGCCAAGGAAGGAACCTCTGCCTCCCCTGTGTCCAGCCCCACTCGGCCATTGCCATGCTTCCTGTGCCTGGGCTGGGGCCAAGGAACCAGCCCCAAAAGCCTGGTTAATAGCTGTGCTATCACCAGGCAACGCTCCAGGGAGACACCGCTGTGCCTTCCAGGGACACTTGGTGGCACCAGTGCGGTGGCAGCTGCCAAGCATCCCTGGTGGACCATCCCCACTGGCGATGAGCAACCCTGGGGACAAGCATCCCCAGAACAGGGAGCAGTGGCTGGAGCAGGACATGGAGCAGAGACACCCCACCCCAGAACCCTGATGGCTCCTTGTACCTTCCAGGATCCTGGACCAGCACCCGACCGTCAATGATGACCTGCCCAATCGCATCATCTCGGGGAGGGTGCTGGTGAAGCCAAACATCCAGGAGTTCACGGAGACATCTGCCATCTTTGAGGACGGCACCAGAGAAGAGATCGACGCTGTGGTCTTTGCCACAGGATACAGCTTCTCCTTCCCCTTCCTCGAGGGCTGTGTGAAGGTGGTGGAGAACCAGATCCCCCTCTACAAATTCATGTTTCCACCTGACCTGGAGAAGCCCACGCTGGCTTTCATTGGCCTCATCCAGCCTCTGGGTGCCATCATGCCCATCTCTGAGCTCCAGTGTCGCTGGGCCACGCGTGTCTTCAAGGGTAAGTGAGGCAAACCTCCCCTGTGCCTGCAGCCTAAGCCTGCAACACAAGAGCCAGGGCAGATGGTGCCCAGCCACGTTTGGGAGGCAGCAACCAGCTGTGCCATTCCAGCCACTGCCGATGGCATGGCCACCGTGCAGCCATCATGGTGAGCCAGGCTTTTGCCTGAGTGACACAGGGACATCCATGCCCAGAACCCTACCCACTGCTCCCTCCCATCCTGAAGGAGCTTGGACATGCCTTGGGTACCATACCACTCGCCACAGTGGTGCTGGCAGGGGCACAGCACCCAGCAAGGGCAGCACCACCATGGCCACTGTTGCCAGCAGGGTGCAGGCCCCATGCCATGGCTCACTCCTCCTAGGGCTGAACAAGTTGCCCCCACGGCATGACATGGAGACTGACATCAAGCAGAAAAGAGAAGCAATGGCAAAGCGGTAAGAGCCCCCAGGAACAGGGAGAGGGACGTGTGGGGAACAGCAGCTCATGGGCACTCATGCTGTCCAGCACCTGCGTCCCAGCACACCTGGCCATGGCAACACGCCAGCGATGCGCTCGGGCAGACCACACCCACCCCACTGCTCCCTCCCGATGGCGGCCTGTACAGCACCGCCTCACCGGTGTGCAGAGCACCTGACAGCTCTGCTGCCAGCACACACCTGCCCTCCCTGCCCACAGGTACGTGAAGAGCCAGCGCCACACCATCCAGGTGGATTACATCCCCTACATGGATGAGCTCGCCTCCCAGGTGGGGGTCAAGCCCAACCTGCTCGCCCTCTTCCTCACGGACCCCAGGCTGGCGCTGGAGGTGTTCTTCGGGCCCTGCACGCCGTACCAGTACCGCTTGCGGGGCCCCGGCCACTGGGCGGGTGCCAGGGAGGCCATCCTCACCCAGCAGCAGCGAGTGGTCAAGCCCCTGCAGACACGGACCGTGGATGAGCAACCCTCAGCCACTGCCATGCCCCTGATCTTCAAGCTCGTCGGGGCCATGGCTGTTCTCGCTGTCATTTTTGCTTACATGTAGGTGCCCTACAAGTGTGCCACGGGAGGCTTTGTTATGGGCCGGGGGGCTAAACAGCCACTCCCTGCCCCACGGCAGCCTGTGCTGGCAGGAGCCCTCCTCCTGCCTGGCACAGTCCCGCTATGGCCGCACCGTGAGCTCAGGATGCACAGAACCTCCTCTGCTGTCAAAATAACACCGTGATGCCCCCTCTCCGCGTCCCCCCAGGGTGCCTCGGCTGGGCACAGAGGATGAAACCTGCTCACACACGCAGTAAAATCCCGTCCCTCTAAAAGCCATTGCCTCCAGCCCAGCGCCGGGCATCCTGCTAAAACCCACATACAGCCTGGCCTCACCACCACGGGCACACGCACATGAGAGCTCAGAAGCAAAGGCACAGCAGGCTTCCTAACTGCATAAAAGCATGTGAAACAAAGCCAGGCGTCTGTCCCTTACTGAAACCACCACGTTCCCCTGCCAGCCGGGGTGTGCACACGGGTTCAAGGTCGGCCTCGTGCTGGTGGCACAGCTCCAGAACCACGGCAGCACAGGCTGCACACACACACACGTGTGTGCATCCACAGCAAAACTGCCTTGCCCAGGCTGTGCAGCGCTGGAGCGGGTCACGGGGGCCACAGGGGCCACGGTGGCATGGCTCAGTGCCACTCCTGTCACTTGCACCCAGCCTCTCTGGAGCACAGCCTGGGGGATTGGGGACCTGGAGCAGTGACAAGGGGTCCCAGCTACCACACAGCTGCCAGCCACCAGTGCCCTGAGCAGCCCGTTCTATTTTCCATATCACAGCCTGTTGAAATCTGGACTGTGGCCACATCTTGTCTTCCACGCCCAGGAAGTCCCAAGTAGCATCAACATCCTTAATTCCTTACAGACACTAATGAGCCCCTTGGGGAGAGTGGGTGTGGGCAGGAGGTGTGGCACGGCAGAAATACAACTTGTGACGGCCCAGACGAGTTCAGTCACCCACAGGAAGAACAGGGATGACCACCCTTGAAGGGGCTGCTCCACTCATCCCCCCGGTGTGACCCACCAGGCGCTGCACCCTCCCGAGCGCGTTTCGCCCCTGCCCGAGGCCTCCCCAGCACCCCTGCCACCAACTCATCACGGGACATGGCTGCCCAGAGGGTCGCCATCATCGGTGCCGGCGTCTCTGGCCTGTGCGCCCTGAAATGTTGCCTGGACGAGGGGCTGGTACCCACGTGCTTCGAGAGGAGCAAGGACATCGGGGGGCTCTGGCGCTTCGAGGTAAGCCCCTGGTCCCACCGGACCCCACTGGCCTTTCAGTCCCTGTCCCACCCAGCCCTTTCCTGGAAGTCCCAGATGCTCCTCTCCCCGCTCCGGTGCTGCCTGCCCACGCAGAGGCAGGGAGCGGCGCCTCTCGCTCTGTGCCTTGGCTCTCCCTGCCTCGCGGGCAGCCCCGGAGCTCCTTTCTGACCCCACCAAACCAGGCTGCTGACTTTTCTCCCAGGGACCCAACAACCAGAACACAAGCCTTCCCACCATACCCCCATACAAGGGTGGGAGAGCCTGAGGGGGAACACCACACATACCACCCCACTGTGAGGTTTGCGGTGGCTCGGTTACAGTCTGCTGGTACTGCCCACCCTGGGTCAGAAATGGGGCTGGAGGAGCAGAGTGAGCGCAGCACCGCCTGGCTGCTGGGGCACAGACCAGCGACCAGGGGCAGCCACCCTGCTGGAAGTGCCAGAGCTGGCTCAGCAACCAGAGGTGGCAACAGGACAAGAGCACCACAGGCAGCTCTGTGAAAGTGGCACCTCACCAAGGTGGGGCTGGCAGTGTGCAAACTGAGGCACAAGGCTCCACAACCCACTGTCACCGCTGCATGGCACCCACCAACTCAGAGCTTTCTCTTCCCTGTTTCGTGGGGTGGGCAGTCACAGCTGCAGGATGGTGCTGGGTGAAGGGATGGGTGCTACAACCACCCGTGGCTTAATCCTGCACCCAGATGCACAGCAAGGTGCCAGGCATGGCACACAGGCAGCCCTAAGTTCCTGGGCAGTGCCGAGACATGCCCCACTCCCACAGGAGTACCCCGAGGAGGGCCGTGCCAGCATCTACCGCTCCGTCATCATCAACACTTCCAAGGAGATGATGTGCTTCAGCGATTTCCCCATCCCTGAGGACTTCCCCAACTACATGCACAACTCCAAGATCATGGAGTACTTCCGCATGTACGCCCAGCGCTTCGACCTGCTCCGCCACATCCGCTTCAGGGTGAGAGCTGGGGGGTTGGGGGCACGGCGGCAGCGGAGTCGTGGGGTGCAGGCCGCCTGATGCCCGCTCCCCCCCGACCAGACCAGCGTGTGCCGCGTGGCCAAGCGCCCCGACTTCCCCACTACGGGCCAGTGGGAGGTGGTGACCGAGAGCGAGGGGAAGCAGGAGGCGGCCGTCTTCGACGCCGTGCTGGTGTGCACCGGGCACCACACCGATGCACACCTCCCGCTGAGCACCTTCCCAGGTA